CTTCTCTTTTCTTCTCTTCTCTTCTCTTCTCTTCTCTTCTCTTCTCTTCTCTTCTCTTCTCTTCTCTTCTCTTCTCTTCTCTTCTCTTCTCTTCTCTCCTCTTCTCTTCTCTCCTCTCCTCTCCACTCCTCTAGCGGTTCTGTTAATTTTAAACCCACATGGCACACATTCCTAGCCTAAACTTAATTTAATCATTATAGTTATATTGTTACTAGGTCAGAAAAGACAGGATTCTCGATTTGAAAGGAGCGATAATCTCTTACTAACCGAGCGCGAGGACCGCACTGCGGAATATTGGCTCGAAGTCGTGGCAGTACGAAAATGACCTTGGGGCAATATTCTCCAGTACGGCTCGAGCAAGCAAGTTTAGCAGGTAGTTTATTAAATGGCGCACTCGGGCCGTGCTTGCTTTGTATTTGCCGGGATTTGAAAACAAACAATACTCGGCTTATGAGCGATTCCTTGGAAACGGTCGGCATGGCAAACTCCTGACCAAGAAAGAACCAATCAGAACACTCGGTTTTACCTCACGACTACCTTGCTGTATAATAACATGGTTTATTTGATTCTCTTTCAGGTCGAGCACTAACTGAGAGCTTTTGTAAACAACTCAAACATGTGTATGGAATTGCCGACGAGGTTCCCGAAGATTACAAAAGCTTGTGCGAGGTGTTTCCCTCATTTATGGCACACGCTTCCAGGGAACGACCGCTGTGTATAGTGATTGACTCCCTGGATCAGTTGACGGACGAGGACGGCGCAAGGCGCTTCTTAAAATGGCTTCCACGTAAACTGCCTGCGCATGCCTGTATGATAGTGTCAACTCTCCCTGAGGAAGGTGGGTGTATGCAGCGTTTAAAGACATTTGGAATCTCAGCCGAACAGTTCTTGCAGGTAAATAATTCAAGTGAAATATTTAACTTATGACTTATTGAATTAAACCCTGTCACCCCGTGGGGGCATAGATCCTTCAGGAAGTCTCTCCATTGACTGCTTCCAGTTGAAGCCTGCCTCTCTCATCTCCTCCTCTATTGACCGTTGTCAACTGTTCTCCCGCTTTCCCTGTGGGTTCCACCTCAAGGCCTACTTGGTGGTGTTGGTATATATCCACATGCACGATTAATTTCCTTTTCTCAAGTAAGACAGCTTGTGTATTTTTTTGATGTCAGGTGACGCGGCTCGACATGCATGATGGTCCTGCTATCCTAGATGCTTGGCTTGGATCAGTCAACAGAAAGCTGACCCTGGAACAGAGAGAGCTTGTTTTAGAGGCTTTTAACCGCTGTCCATTACCTTTGTACCTGCATTTGCTCTTTGACAAATGTCGTTCTTGGCCTTCATACAAGTAAGTGAGTTTTACCACCTACGTTTCGTAACGTTTAATGCATATTCACATATTTTCTCGCTTTTCAAATTCTCTTGTCTTAATTCTACTCATATATCCAAAAAACTTTTAACCACTGTTTTTAAACTTGAAAATGATTTCAGAGAGGTCGAAATGACGTTTTTTATCTCTAGTTTTTATCCTAAAATGTGTTTCGAAGAAACTGCTCATTAGAATTCAGATTATTGACTCGTGGGTTTTTGTTAAAAGTGAAAAAAAAAAA